TGTTATAATTGTAGTATAATATACCCCGAACCCTATTCTAATTAGTAAGGCCGCTATATTAACCCTAAGTTGTAGGGCAGTATATCCCCAAAGGATAGCCCTTACCTCAAACCACAAACCTATTGACAAGGAACCCTGAAAACCCCCGGGCCTTAGCCATACCTCTGGGTTCATACTTTCGGGCACTTGCTGTTCTAAGTGGGTTTTAGGGTTCAGGGTCTAGGATTTAGGGTCTAGGGTTTAGGGTCTAGGGTTTAGGGTTTAGGGTTTAGGGTCTCGGATTTAGGGTTTAGGGTTTACCCTAAACGAGGGATAGGGTATGAGCTTCTAGGTAAGGCTGACACACCCAAATAGGAAGGTTTTAGGTCCCAAAATCCATACTCTGAATGGTTTTTTGACCTTGAAACCCTACTATTTGGGTACTTGGACCCTTAGGGTTCTAGGTAAGGCTGACGCACCCAAGGCCTTCTTCTCACCTCACGCTGAACCTGGATTCGGTGATCTGGGGATTGTCGTGGAGGCGGGAGTTTGCAATTTGAGTTTAGGGTTTAGAGTTTAGGGGGTTAATGTAGGGGCCTTAATAATTAGCATAGGGTGTTGGCAGTTCAATATTATAGTGATAGTATAATATATTGCAAACCGTATTCTAACTGTTAGGGCCCCTATGTTACCCTTAGCATCAACCTAGCCCAAAGGCCCTGTATAATAGGGTCTTTGGGCCCAAAAGCCTTATACACCATGAGTCCTTAGAGGGTGAGGGTTAGGGTTCTTTAGCGTCTAGGGTCCTAAACCCTAAGCCCTAAACCCTAAACCTCGGGCATTGCCCGGGCCTTGTGAGGGTTTTATCCTTCAACCTTCGGAGTTCAGGGTTCAATCTTCACGGATGTCCTTCCTTGCGTCTTGTGAGGATATTATCAGGAGTTTGGGCTTATAGGGTTTATAGGGTTCAATATTCAGGGATGTCCTTGGGTCTTGTGAGGATGTTCTCAGGGGTTTAGGGTTGGTTCGGGTTTGTAGGGTGTGGAAGGGTCCAAGTGATGCACCGGTAGCGCGCCAGGTGCCCAAAGTCATTCAGGGGTCTCGAGTCTCGGCCTCTTGCTTTTTTTTTAATTTGTTTTGGCTTGGACAGTTGGATTGCGCAGCTTCTTCGTACCTTAAAGACGACATGAACCCTCAAAAGTTTTAAGGCTCAGATACCATATATGGCTTCATACTAGTATAGGGCTCCTAATGTTGAGGGTCGTTTCGTCTTTCCAGGCCCTAAACCCTAAACCCCATCAAAGGAACCCCTTAAAGGGCCCTCCTCTGAAGGGTCATTCGGTCCTGTGTGTATTTTTGTTGACAGAGCTCTCCTTGGGATTCCCTCATCTTTCGTTCAAATTCTAGGTTCCTGAGCAGTACCCTTTTGCCTTTTGTTAGGGTCCCCTTGTTTAAAACCGAATAGTACGGTTGATGATATAAATCCTGCATTACCCAAAATAAGGAAGATGCCACAATTTCCATAGTTTAAGATCCTTAAGGTAGTGCAGGATTTAATCTCATCAACAGTATATCTTTACAGCCCCCTAAACCCTGAACCCTAAACCCCAAACCCTAAACCCCCAAACCCAAACCCTAAATTACTAAACCCCAAAAAACACAACTTCTAGCAAACAAGGGGTACCCCTTAGTATACAGGGGCTGCGCAGGAGCCCGGGCTGCGTTTTTTTTGAAGCCCGAGAGACTTCCAGGAGGCTTTAAGTGCAGTCCTATACCATGATCAGGGTTTAGGGTTTAGGGTTTAAGGTTTAGGGTTTAGGGTTTAGGGTTTAGGGTTTAGGGTTTAGGGGTTTAGGGTTTAGGGGCCTGAATAATTACCAATAGTATTCTGGGGGGGGTTCCTTCTTGTACTATAGTACAATGGGCCCCAAAACCCTATTCGAATTACTAAGGCCCCTATATTAACCCCTAAACCCTAAACCCTAAACCCTAAACCGCAAAGGGTAGCCCTTAGGTCCCCTAAACCCTTAACGGTAAGGCTCCCATATTACTTGGGTTTCCAAAAAACCTACGGCTTTAAGGGTTTAGGGTTTACGGTTTAGGGTTTAGGGTTTAGGGTTTAGGGTTAGACCCTGTACTGTAGTTAATGGGCCATAAACCATACTATTTCGTAGGGTTTGGGGATACAGGTAAACCCTA